GTTACACCTGCTCAAACAATGGTGGGACTTAATAGGCATATTTTCTTGTGCATGATTCTCTTCCATGTAGTACTTCAGTCTCACTGCATATATATATTTTTTTTTTAAAAGTTAAAGAAAGATAAAACAACAAGCAGAAGGGACACAACACAATATGCATTTAAATCTTTGTTTAAGAACAAGCAGCTAATTAAAAAAGGCAAAATACAGGAAAAGTGCATCAGTTCCAATGAGTTAGTATAAGAAAGGCCCACAGGTGGAGAGCAGGTACCTTTGAGGGTAGAGTCTCCTACAAGACCTCTGATTGTCTACAAAGATTATTTAAAATTTATTTTAAACAGAAATAAAGAAAAAAAAAAAGAAAGAGGAGAAACATGACACCTCCAGATTTTTTTTTCCATGAGGTTTCTTGGAAACTTGTGCTCAACAACTTTCAGAGTGGGCAAGGATTCATTAGTGCCTCATAGTTCCTTCTCGTAACTTGAGTTGTCCCCGTGTCTCAAGCAGCAGGTGTGTTCCTCTTGAACTGTGCAAGGCTAGAGGACTTCCACAGGCTCTGTGCCCATGTTTGTGCTGAGTCAGTCAGACCTACTGCCTCTGAATTTTGTCAGCGCAAGACCTGCTCGCTTCCATGGCTTAAAGCTGAGCCAAACACTGCTGGCTGTGCACCTAATAGAATAACTTAGTCTTCTCATCAAGTCCGTTTATGTATCTGGTGCATTTCAGAACAACAGATGTGATGTTAAGGAAGCTAGAAATGACCATGGAGACAAAGTGTCACTAACCTTAACTAATTTTTGCTATATTTCATACAGATTATTGTTTTTAGAAAAACACGTAACAGTAAAAGAGGCTTGTTGTATCTGGTGTTCCCAAGTCCCCTTCTAATCCTTCACCCAAAAGGCTGCCTTTGAAAACAAGGCTACATGCATGTTTGGGGAAGGCTGGCAGCACTCTGAAATAGCGGAAAAACAATCCCTTTAAAATGGAGCCTTCAGCCAAGATTTGAAGTCTCCTGACAGAGACTATGTCTTTGTGCTTAGTTACTTTCAGGTAATTTGAGCTCACAGTAGGCAGTAACCAGTCTGCCACTGTGTGACAGGACTGGTTAAGGAGTAGCTTTGTATAGGATCATCGTATTTTTGGCTTTCTGGTAAGGCTACTTCATCTAGTAACTTCTCCTCTAACAACAGATTTGGTCCAAAGGTATCCAGCCTCCAATTTGAGCTTGATAATTTTGAAGCGTATTCCATTACATTCAAAAATCTTGCAAGCCACTTTGCCTTTTGCTAACAACGTACCAAGGCTTTGTACTTTATACAGAAGAATGGAGTGCTCAGTCCAATCAGCTGTAAATATATTTACACTTCTGCGGACCTAGCAGCTAAATATTCCTTCCTTCCTTTAAAGCATCATTGGAATCAAGAATAAACACTAGCAAATCCTAAAGCAACAACAAAATACTGCTGAAAGTTGTGACAAGAGAAAGTAATCTTAACAACCACTCCCAAACTCTGTATGTATTGTTTCCATTAATCCCAGGAGAGACTGCAAACACTCCTGGAGTTCTATAGAACACAAAAATGAGTCTGCCTTTTATTTCATTCCTCAAAGAGCAAATTTCAGAAATGTTTAGCATTAGAAAAAAAGTAGTCTTCATTCACCAAGATCAGTGCTGTACCTCTCCCCTTCTGGAAGGACTGCTTTCAGTTTAGGATGGACTGCAAGCTGCTCGTGCTTTGGGGGATAATTCTACCACATTAACCTTCTGTGACATTTTTGGAGGTCAAATACTTCTCTGTTATGGAATTCTTGTGTTGGTGCAGAAAGCACGCAATAGTAACTCAATATAATCTTTCTGCCTAACAAGGCTAAGCTTAGCACAGTACGAGTGCCATACGGAGGCAGCACCAGGTTTCTAAAGCTATCATGTGCAAAACCAAGACTGTACAATGCATATGAAAATAAGACAAGCAAGAATGCAAACCCTCAATGGGTCAGCCAAGGGTAACCTCCTTTTACTGTCACATAAACAGAACATGAGGCCCAGTGGAGGGCTCATTTTCTTGTACTGAAGACATCTGCGAGACATACCACCTTTCTCCTGGACCCCAGCTTTGTCATATTGTATGGTGAATGATGCGGTAGAGGACAGCACAAATCCCTGAAGCCTAAATTACTGCAGTCCCAGCAACTCCTGCTGGTGAAACACTGGTATCACCCAAAGCCAAGATTCAGCCATCAGCTACCCCAAATCCAGTTTTGAAGAAACAGAGCAACTAAAGCAGTGCGTGAGCTGATTTCAAGTCATGTTGGAAAAAGATGAACAAATCTAAGTGCAGTTGTGTCATCTGCCACGCATAGAGAAAGAGGAACTTGAAACAGAGTCAAGTAGAAACACCATCCATCAAGATAAAGCCCCAATTATCCCTTTTAAATTCAGCAATAAAACAGAGTGCATTTTTTCCAGGAAACAGAGTGTACAGTACCCGTGTGCAGCATAAAAACACTTCACAAATAATGAAAACATCCCTTTTGAAAATCTCAACAAAAATAGATCCCATTGGGACCAGACTGTCAGTGCCTCTCAAAACAAGGCAGAAAAATCCAGCCTATAAAACATGCCAAAGGTGACCAGTGAGTATCCCACTAACCTCTGAAACTGCTGACTGCTTTATTTAGTGAGAAAAAGAAGTATGACGTTTGTATTTAAAACCCTAGGCACCATGTTAACAGGTTCACTAAATTACCCTTTAAGCTTTGTTCTCTGCTGACAACTACTTAAAAAGACATCTCTCTGTCCTTGGGGAAAGGTGGAAGCAACCTCTTTTGGCTATGCAGGTCAATTCTGCTGGGTATCAGTGCAATTCTGGAAACCCTGAAGAATGACAAATATGATCCAAAAGCATCATCTTCCAGCCCAGAAGCTCTCTGCTGGTCAAATTTCTCAAGACAAGACACTGATAGCAAAGCAGCAGTGTTTCTTTCAAAACTTTTTTCAGGCCTAATGGCTAATCACTGCGCTTGTCCTAGGAGGATGGAGTATAGGCGGATGACGTAAGCACAATGTGAAGAGCCAAAACTTCCATTTATTGGCCACATAGCTCATGTGAGGAAGAAGGGGCACTTCAATTTCAATTTAATTATGTTTTCAGACTCTGCTTACAACTTGGGAGGAAAAATGGTCCTAGCTACACACTGTCCTCCTTCCCTCAAGAAAACCCAGGTAGTAAACAGTCTGTCTGACATTGACATTTTGATTCTGGAATGGAAAGAAGAATAATCTTATTTTAGCACTTCTGTAAATAGTTCTGCCTTGACTGGGCAGTTATTCTAAGGGGCAAAAGAAATAAACCTCAGTTATTTAGCTTTGCTTCCTCTAAACAGTTTTCATTGGAGGTAGTTCCCCCTCACCACCTATGTGGCACACAGAGACACAGATTGCACAAACTCAGCTCTTAGTTTAGAGACTACCTTCTTGCTGAATCCTACAGCTCACGGTGTCAGAACAACCGATCACATTAGGCCTAAGAGATGCTTGAATCAATCCATTTGACCTGAGTAACCAGTGTTTATCGGAAACCAGCAAATGCCTTTCCTAAACAAATTCCTGCAGTGAGCACCTTCCTACCTCACATTCCTTAGCATGCCAGGGGCTTTGTGCAAAAATGTATTTGAATAGGAGATAAAGGCCCAGGGCTGTACACATAAAACTCCTGCCTGTGCTCCTCTAAATACTTTGAGAACAGGCAGAGTGAATGAACACAAGCCATCTGAAACCTAATGCTTATTTGATACTGATCTTGAGCCTGATGCAAATTTCCCCACATCTTTAATGGAAAGTAATGTAAGCCCTGTTACTTAAAGTGTAATGCACAGGTCTACAGCAAGTGGCTGATTGGGTTTTATTACCCTGGAAAATTAAAATTAGCAGTTCATCCTACTGTGGGTCTACTGATGGAACTAGATGTCCCTCTGGTCCTTTTCCTTTTCTCTAAAAAAAGCACACAAATCCCTTCTCAACCCCCACATTTTCACCAAGTCTGATCCTGAGCAGCTGTAAACAGTTAAAAATACAAAGTCATGCTCATAAGATAGTTTCCAGTATACGAACACTAGCAGAGCTAAGTTGCAGTCCTCTATTGATGGCAGTTTTCTTAGTGTATTCTCTAAAAAGATGTTCAGGTAGCAAAGCAAAAGTCTGCCGACAGGCTCTGTGTCCATGGCCCAATTGTTTGCTGTAAGAAAACGGAAACAATTTCACACAATTAAAAAAAAAAAAAAAGTCATTTGACAACCAAAATATAGAAAATGCAGAGGCACTTTCTCTTTCCTTCCTTTTTTCCTACAGCCTGTCTGTAAGAGAAGTGCAAAATAATTAAGTTTTCTGACATCTGAGAAAAAAGTAATATCCACATTAAGACTACACAGGCTTCAGCTAAAGCTTTGGAACAGAAGCTCTGTACGCTGATATTGGTTTGTACTCCTGACATGCCTACAGAAGAGAGACTGCTGTGCAGTTACAGACGATTTGTCCAGAAGAAGTAGTTCCCTCCCTTTTTAGATCATCACTTCTACTGTTCAGGTTACAGAGGTAGTAAAACCAAAACAAAACAAAAACTCAACAACAACAAAACAGAAACCCAAAATAAACAAAAAAAACCCCAAAAGGAACCACACTCTTGCTATACTGTACATTCAGAACCCTGTGGCCACATTGTTGTCCTAACAATGAACAAATTCATTAAAAAACTCAACATTAACACACGAATGTGCAAAGAGCACATTCCAAAGTCAGTGCTGTGGTAAAGCAAGTGTTCGTCCACAGGGAGGGAAAAGGATTCTGTGAATCATCAGGAACAGAGAAAGGTTATTTCTGGCAGCCTACATGCTAACGTAAACAGGATCCGTTTCTCCTTTTAAAGTTCCGTGCCAAGAGAACTATTGAAATGTCATTTCCCACCAGAGGAGACTTTTCTGTAATCATTAAAAAATACATTAAAAAAAGGGAACCATAGAGCAAGAGACTATTGTGTTCCCAAGCTGGCAGCTGGCAGAGTAGCCCCTGTGTTTGCATTGGCATTTTGTTCCACGTGTTGTCTTCCTTTTGTCAAAGTGAAAAACTGAGGCTGACAGATGCTCTTAGGCCACCAGGGCCTCAGGTTAACTTCATTTGGCTTTACTTGCTAAAGAGAAAAGAGCATGTTTTTGTAGTTGTGCTTCAAAGGTCCACTTCAACTTGGCTGCTCCTCAGTTAGCAAACTGCTGGTAAAAGGCAAGTTTGACCCTCTCAATGTGATGGCAAAGTTTAATAGCTGGCCCAAGCTTCAAGTCCATACACTCCTGAACGGTGGGCAGGGTCAGCAGCAGCAGCGCCTGGCCATCGATTTCCTGTCAGAAGACAAAAACTCCACAGTGACTTTGCGTTTTTATTTTCTCTGCTCCTTCAGCTGGAACTTGCTGTAATTTCAGATTCATGACTGTGTGAATTAGACGTTTCTTTCATGCTACTTCAGGCAGCTTAAAAAACCCCCTCTCTTTCTCACAACAAATTAACTCCTGGCTATGGGACAGAATCTCAAGAGATGCTATTGTAAAAAATCAACCTAACAACAAAAACCAAGCAAATTTCACGCAGAAAGTAATTTTACCTAACCTCTGCATACTTCTATAGAAACAGAGGTTCTACATGGAAAAGTACACCTTCTGGAAAATCTGCCACAAACCATACTCATTATTAGTTCTTGTACCACAGTTTTGATAGATCACGGTTTTTTATGGCAAATTTTAACCAAGGTGCAAGTACAATGTTAACTTGACTCATGTTTGTACTCTAGTTGTCATACTTTAACACAAAAATGTTCGCTTGTTGTACAGCTGTACAACACTGTGATACCTGCCATTAGTCTGCAAAACAGAAAATATTTATCATTGGAAAAGTCAACACAAGTGGCAAAACTCTATCGCCTAGAAAACAGGCTCTTGCCTTCATGGTGCTTTGTTGTAGGCATTCTCTATAGTTTTGGGATTCGGATTCCCCAAAGATCAAAACGTCTTCCACTAAGAAACCTGAAGAATTCTGGTCATACCCTTAACTCTCCTCTCCCAAACTGCAGAAGGCTGTGGATGCATTTGTTTCCTCCAAATCCTATTATAAAATTTAAACTAGCTTCTTTTTGTGATTCATTGGAGGATAAGAAGCAAAGTGATAGATTCAACATTTTAACAGACAGAAAATGATACCTGATCAAGGAAAATTCTTGCCAGTGGTGCACAGTCAGTGGATTTGAGGAATCGTACAACGTCAGCCACGCTCCATTCCAGAGGGTTACTGTCCAGCTGCAGCTTTTCAGCAACTTCCATCTTTATGTCCTAGACAAGCCACCCAGCACAAAAAGAATCCCCCAAATATTACATATGCAATGGACCAACCCTTCCCTCTACTCCCCCACACTCAAACATTCAGCTGCCAAATAAAGCTCTAATGAGAGCTCAAATTGTAAAGGTTTCTTGGTTAGCAGAGATGTGCAGAACAGCATTGTGCTGAGGGTGGAGGCTATAACCTCATTAGAGCCAGTAAGCAGGGATCTAAAACCAGGATTTGGTCGATACCACATCACTGCTCTGGTTGAACCAAGAAGAGTGCTAACAGCTGGGAAATGGAAAGCTCACCATTCTGTCTACAGCCTTCTGTTTAGTCTTTATTACAGTCCTGTACTAAAAATCATGATTTTTAATTATTCTGTAGTGTCTTCACAATGTCTTTTATGGAGTAACAGTATTTTATGCAAACACATGTATGATGGTTAATACTCCCAAGATATTAGTGCTTGCCCAAGAGTGAGCAAGTTAGAACAGGAATCTACGTTCAAAGTTACCTTTGGCGAAGGAGGTTTATTTTCATCATCTGAAAAGGAAAAGGTCCTGAGCTTCCTCTTCCGCTTGTCTCGGTCCTGAGCCAGGGAATGAGACAGTTCACTCTGTGTAGGAGAAGATGACAGTGATTTCTTCTCTGATACCTCTGATTCCTCAAGCAATTCATCTTGGTGCTCTGAGGTACTATCCTCAGTCAGAGATTCTTCATCTACCTCATCCTGGTCATCCTCCTCTTCTCCCCCACTGCCCTGAAGAGGTAGGAAAAAAAAAATTTGATGAAATAAAAAAAAAAAAAAGAGGGAAGTTTAGGACAAAACCTACAATTGCCACCCATTTGTCAGCTGTAACCTGAGGTTACAAGGAACTAACAGTTTGTTGTTTCAAATGAAGCTGGTCAAAGATCACTCACTGTATCTATTAAAGCTGTTGGTGGTCTCGTACCTGGGGAGATCCAGCTGGAGTGTTATCCACTGAAGTAGAAGAACGTTTTTTCTTATGAACAAAAAAATGTTTTCGTCTCTTCCGTCTTTTATTTGGTTTCTTCATGGCTACTTCCAGGTTGCTGTGGCCACCCGGAGGCCTACCTATCCGCTTGTTTTTCCGCTTTCCGTAATAGTGTGCTGCCAGGACAGAAGAAAGGAGCATCATGTTGAAATGCACCTTCAATGTCCCTAGTTATGTTTGTCCATCATCAGGACTGGAAAATCAGTAGAAGGACATTTCCCAATAGAAATCCCAATTCTGCAAAACTTCAAAATGGGTATGTGTATTTCCTCTTCAATTTGGTTCAAGGAAGAAGAGTTACTAATCAGTTTTATTTGCCCTATAAAGATTTACTTCCTCTACCTCTGAGGAGCCCTAAATGATCAGACTTTATTAAAAAGAAATCATCAGCCATAGACTTGGTCCAATTTAATGGTGCTTTTTGTGATGTTTTGTAGTTTTTAAACATGGCCTCGATGCGCTGTTTGTTCTCACAGTGTCAAATGATTAAAGTTAGTTTTTAAAAAAACCAACTAAAACCCTAAAAAAACTAAAAGCTACCAAAAGAGCTTGAAGGTGTTTTATTTTGTTCCACAGCAATTTGGTAAAAGCAATTACAATGCCACTTAAATTAAAATATTAGAGTCAGTTCTTGTCCCAAAAGTTGTCTTAAGAAGATAAAGCTTTAAGCACACAACAAAAAGTTAAGCCATGGTTCTACCACTTAATATAGCATTAATTTTTTCTCCCCTACATAATGGCACATGGATATTTTATAGGCCTATGTATGTAGTGCTTGACCTGCTCTTTGTGTAAGCAAAGCAATGAGTTTTGGATTCCTTCTGGAGCCAAAGCCAGAAGAACCCAAAATATAACACCCTGTCTCGGTTTGAGATCAGCACCCTACTCACTGTATTTAGTCTTTGTCAGGACAGAGCAGTTCTCTGAACACTTATCCAGCACCATCTGAGGGCCGAAGAGATTTGGACAACATTCCAGCTTGATGCATGTTTTTCTACAGAAATCTGCCACCCGATCTGCCGTCCTCACAACTTCCACAGTTGCACGGTAGCTCTTCCCTTTGTACCTAGCATAGAAAATACAGTCATAATTCAGGAATCCTCTAATTACCAGGATAAAAGTACTTCATTGAGAGGTGTACAAGAATATTGCTTTGAGATCAAACTGAGGATAAATCTGAGTAATGAGGAACTTTATGGACTGACAAATTCAGGAAGCAGGTAGTCCTGTCTCTTATGACAGATCCTCAAGCAAAGAAAAAAGCCAGCACCAGAGAGATGCCCAGAGTACCAAACACAGCAACACTGCCCTGCCAATCACTATAAAATACCATCTGAGAGGACAATCCCAGAGTTTAGATGTTTTGTTTTCTTTGTTCACAGATGGTTTGTTCTTTCTTTGTTTTCATGGGACCACAGAAGTGTCCACTGTGATGTGGACAGCTGGTCCCTAAAACCAAGACGGAGTATACCATTCAGCTAATAAAGGTAACAGCAGACAGCTTTTAGTGAGCCATTCTATGCACATACTACAGCAAACAAATGAACTACTGTCACATTTCCAATCAGCTTTCATCTAACTGCTGAACAATTCGTCAGGACAATCACTTGCTATGACTCCACATATTGCTCCTGTTTGATTTAAATTAAGGAAAGATTTCTTTTTGTTCATCAGCCTTGCCATGACACTGACAGAGCCGCACTGTGTAATATCTGCCAGAGTCATTCATCATTTCTCCTTTGTTCTCCCAGCACAGCTACTGCCATGTGCTGGTATCTATTAGGGATGTCTCAGGCCTGCAAGTATCTTGTTAATGCATTGAAAAAAGAGCTATATCATCATAGTCCAGATATCCCTGGTGTCACTACTGTGACAAAAGAAAGCACATAGCAACTTCAGTGAAACCAAACAAAATTTTTTTTTCCTCTATTCTTCAGCTACATCTTCTATTTACATTACCCTTTCATATGATCTTCCTATTGTCCAAATCCAGAGCAATCTTTCAATATATGGAAAGGTGTGTCTTTTTAGACATGAAACTGATCCAACAAAAGAATTACTGACATGTTCAAAACTATGTAGAAAAGTGTGCTATGGCATATTAGGAAAATCTTCTCTCTAGTATGCAAACACAGTGACCTAATTACAAGACCATCACTAGACTACAAAGGAGTATCTGGATTGATCAAATATATGCAAATATGATCACTGCTTTTTACCTAGCCACAAAACAATCTTGTAAAGAAGCTCCAACCCCAAAAAGCTCAGCAGGAAAGCTAGGGAGTGCTTTAGGGTAGGCTGTTGTAGAAAGACTTCCAATTCCAGGCCATTTCAGAGCACTGCTATAACTTAATTTCAGAGGAATCTTCTGCCACTGAGAAATTTGTGTGGAAACGCCATGGAGGTCCCAGAAGCTTCCCAAGCAGTATGTGCTTCCACTTTAAAATACCGACAATTATCTTCAGGTGAATTAAATTATCTTAAATCTCACCTGCAGGTCTGCCAGTCTATATGCTACGTTGTACCAGTACCACACCATTGTTGTTACTTGACCACTAGCTGCTTACATACCAGTAGCAGAGCACACATGGCATATTAAAGAATGTTAAAATTGGATGCACTTCACCAGACATTCATAAAGAAATTTATAAAGATTTGAAAGTTTAATGACTGTCAGTGGCTTGATATGCTATAAGCAATTTTTCCTTCTCTGAAATGTGAGAAGTTAACGCATAGACTGCAGAGAACATTGCTATTGGGATCAACTGAGTGGGGAACAGGACAGGAATTTACTTGGCTTTTAGGGTCTCTCCATGCCCATGCCATGCAGCCTCTTCGTCCAACTGCAGTTCTCGCAGGACACGGCTAGGTTTGTAAGCTGCATTGATCAATAAAGTGAGCACCTACAGTGAGGGAGGGAAGAGGAGAAAATACGTTTAAGTTATTTGTACAATAAATCTGTTTTAAAGTACCAGGGTAGAATAGGAAATTACTTCTATTCATCCAAATTATCTAGCATCAAAGCACTCATTCACAGCAGGATTACAGATACCTCCTGATACTGCCAAAATGAAAACTGAGAGCAGTCGACACTTTGGGCCTTGCCAAACCTTCAGAATTTGTCTGCAGAGTCATGAGTGTATCTAGCAAATTCCAAGTCATTGCCCTTGAATTATACATCACTAAATTAAACCCTGGGGCTGAATACTACAAAACTTGTATAACCTTGGGTAAATCTAAGCGATTATCTTAGAGATTGTTTGACATGTGAAGATGTGCCAAAAATGCTGCAGGATTTTGCTGCCTGCCAAGCTACTACTTGCTACAAAATCATACTGAAGAATCTTAAGCTCTCCTCTGTTTTGCTTTCATGAACCATGATAAGGCCTGTACTACAACAAAATGAGAATTTCTCTGGTGCTGTAAAGCAACTCAAAGCTGTGAATAACCTGGTTAGTGAGGGACAGTACAAAATGTGCATTCAAATTGTATTTCTTATTTTCAGTATGTGCTTATTCCAAATCATTCCCAAATGGGCTGCATCAGAACCATGACATAACAAACTTGCAGCTTCATTCCTACGAATGCAGCAGTCCAGAATTCTACAGTTCAAAAGAAGAGTATTAAATATAATGCAAGTACCAAACTCACTCCAGGATGCATACATTGAGCAAGAGTCATAATTGAAATGAATATAGCTAGGCATAGTGGTTGAACTTTTAGCAACACTCAGCATCTGCACATCATCAGGATTTGTGCACACTTTACGCTTTCAGGCAGTGAAGCAGGTTAAACCTTCAAGGCTAAATGAAGCTGCCACAGAATTTCACACTTGCTCTTTTGGAGTGCTTACATCAGCATACTGAAACTTGCAAAAAGGATAGGGTACTTTTCTGTATGCAAAAATGGAACTTTTTCAATGATCAGCTTGACTCTTGTCCACTGGACTCTTGTTTTACAGCATGTCTGCCAGAAAGTCTTTCTTAAGGCCTCTCCCAGTTATGATATGTGGTAGGGAGGGTAAAAATTCCAGAGATGTTGAACCAATTCCTGCATTTAAAGTGATCATTTCATTAGAGTTCAAGTGTGCACATATAGTTAGGCCCTGGGAAACCTTCAGTCTGTCAGGACAGATAATAGATAATAACTACCCCATGACCTTTTTGGAGATTTCAGAAAAATAATTATTGCATTAAAGTACCTGTAAATTTGCTGTGAAACACCTTCTGGAGAAGAGGCTCTTCGGCACTAAAGAATGGCCTCTTCCTCCCTCTTCCCCTCCCTCAGCTACTTTAGAAAGCAAAACCACAATTTCATCTGATCTTTGCAAATCATATCCAACTTACAAAACACAGAGTATGCTTTTAATTTTCTAATTACTGAAAATAGTTTGCCATTGCTACTAAGAAAATCTGTATTTCCTCTGTTTTAACATCAACAGTGCAAACTGGAAAGGAATTTTGGGATTATCTGAAGCTAAATTCTGTTAATTAAAATTGAGGCATTTATTACAGCTATAAAAAGATACCAACTCCTTTGATTGTGGTAATTACAGGTTACTCTCTTTTAACCGAAAATAAAGTTTAGCAGTGGAAGTCTGACTGTAACTCAAATAAATGAGAGGCTTTTACTCTTTCCAGCCATTCATAAAACAGTCCATGATTTATACTTGATTTTATGCAAAAAACCTCTTTACTCATTATCAGTTTAAATTTATTAATTACCCATCTATAATTAGAGAGACACTCTAGTGTTTATGATACTTTGCTATATGCAGGTCCACTGTGCACAACCACCTCACCTCTTTCAGAACAAGAACACAGTTCCCAGGTCCCACAGACTGAGGAAGCTCTGCAATCCTGCCTTTGTTAAGGTAAGGCCCTGAGAAGCACCGGTGGTTGAAGTAGATCTTTGGGCAGCAGTACTTTCCATTAATCACCACTGAGAAATAAGAAAGCAAAGACTTAAATCACATGCTACAACTTCCCCGGTAAAGAATGACTTCTTGCAATATCTAACGTTTTGCCTGCTGTAAAAAAGAAGGGGGAAAAGTCTTGAATGACATGAATTTGGGGTAGTTTCAGTGTCACACCTGCAACGACAGCATTAGTTATTTGATGTTGCCAAAATATTTTTCATACTTCACTCACATGCTTGCAAATTGTCAAACTCTAGGAAATAAAGCTGGTTATTTATCAGAAATGAAACATTTCTTCCTGGCTAGTCTGATGCTTCATGGTAGTACACCAGTGAGAACAGGCAAGAAGATGACAACCCCAACTTTTTAGTAGCAGAAGCACCTCCTACACAGCAATTAAGGATAAATTTTCCAGTCAAGTAATTATCTCTCTCCCAAACTTCTGCCACCAGAGAAGATGGCAAAGTTATTCTCCACTGTTTATCCTAAACTACAATATCACATTTCTTTGCATTTTTAGACTCTTTTCCCTTATTCAGCAAACAAAAGATGCAGCAACTGATGAAGTGACTTTTGATGAAGTGACATCAAGTTTTCTAAACCTATTAAACAGTTCAATGCTGCTCAAAATTAAAGTTATGTATAATGTGTGTTGCAAGATACTTATGTATAAATACAAATTTTTTTTACCCTAGCAGTGTTGCAGTCTTCCTTGACTGAACAACGCTATCACTTAAAGATCTTAAATTGAGTAGTTGATAACTGGCAGATAAATAAATGAAGTCAAATTTACATTATGACTCTATTAAAAGCCAATTAAAATGCTAAACAAGCATGAATCATTTCTGTAAAGTTTGCATTTGGTTGCAGCTTCAGATGTGCATTTCACTGTACAGAAAACAGCAGAAGAGGCATTTTGCTGCCAAACAGATAGATCTGTATGACTGTTTCACCAGCAGATGTACTTATTCATCATATCCATTCTTGCAACAGTTTAGAAAATTATTAGATTTCGCCATCTGGCACACAAAGCAGTTTACTGTTTGAATTGCTTTTGTTTATCATGATGATGAAGTTACCATAAAAAACAGACAAACCTGCTTCCCAAAGCTAGAATCTTAACAACTCAAAAGCACAGATGCAGTGCGTCTGTTTGTTTCTCCCAACATTATTAAACATAACAGGTGACAATAAAAAAATCATCTGCATAGGTCACAGTACACATTTGGCTCCACATATCCTCTGTTGCGGGGGTGATGTTCTAGTGTAAAAATCTGATTTCCAGGTTTAATGAGCATATCAATTGCAGGATACAATTAATGGTACGTTTTTATTTGTTTCATTCGTTTTTGAAGTTCAACAAATCATCAAAGAATTAAAATCTCCAAACCCTTTCCTCCTCTTCCCGCTCCTAACAGCAGTGTTGAGCAGCTGAACAACGAGGCAGCTGAACTTTAACAGGACTTTGTCTTTGTTAGCATGCCCTCTCTGATCGATACCTGAGTCAGAAGAGTTCAGCTCCTGGTTCTTTAGTCCATCATGAACTGTCCTCGAAGACAGAATTCTGAAATGAAAAGAAGGAGGTTGGGAGGACAGATGGGAAGGATAGTCACCTCTCTAAAACCCACCATTAATTTTTTTGTTTTATCTCCAGGTCCAGCCTTATTAGTCTGCTTTTTACACCTCCCCTGTTTCACAATAGTAACACGCAAAGACTATCAAATTTGATTTGGAAAGGACTACTGTATTGCTACAGCTAGCAGCAATCCTTCCTTGCTTGGGGTATATGGGCTACCATTCTGATGAACACATCACACAAAGTTACAATAGTTTACATTTTCTGCCTCCTTTTAACTTCATTTCACATTTCATGGCCCAAGGCAGAGTAGAGTCTTACCTTCTGCATTTTGAAAAAGATGGATTTTAAACAAACTACAAACAAAATGACTCAAGTACTCTGGTAAGAATCCCAATTACAAAACATGGAAGAACAGTCTGCTCAGTGTTTTAGGAGCAATGAAAACATTGGCAGGACTACTGACAGATCCGGTGTCTGTAAAACTGTAAGAGTCAATAAAACCAACTGTCAGGCATTCTACTGAGCACTTTTGAGCAGGCTTACAATGAAGGAGTTTCATATGCATGACACGGTTCATAGACGAATCGTAGATATCAGTAGAACTTTCCTTTTTTGGCTAGTCTGGGCCATATTTAACCTGGGAAGGAACTATTAGAAGTTCATCTACTAAATGACAGCACTTACACTAAAGCCAAATTTCCTGATCAGCTGTGCAAAATCACAGTTACATTTTAAAGCAGCCACATTTTCTAAGCATGTTTACATTACAGAAACTGTATGATTTGAGAAAGGAATACAACCAAAAGGGAATTCAGTAATTTACCCTATTAATCACCACTAAAAAAAGGCTCAAGCACAAACTTATAAACAGAATCTTAAGATCAGGCTAGTTTTTCTTAAACGCACCCCAATACTCACAGATAACGCAATCTTTTAAAAATGAAAGATCAACAACTTGACCTATTCAATAATTCAGCTGAGTTGCACTAGCATTGTTAAAAAAACAAACTGCATGCTTTCTATCTCCTACTACAGCAGTGCAAGAGGTCTTTTTCAACATCAACAGGAACTATAAGCGTTAAGATAAATGGATTGTGGAATGTCTCAACCCTCAGTACAGCACTTCTGTAAAGCTACATCTCCTGTAAGACAACATGATTTACCAATTAGAAAAAGAAAAAAAACCCCAACAAACCCTAACAAAAAATAAAAGCAAAAAACCTGTTACTTACTGTTTCTCTGGTTGAACTACTGCAATTTTTTTCTGCTTGTTTACTGAAAGGAAGAAGAAAATATAAACAAAGTATGAGACGCAAACAATGAAATGTCTAGTACAATATATAGACTCATTTCCTCTAAGTTATACACCAAAAAGAATCTATGTTCAAAGTTACTGCAATGTTAGCTGACCCACGTGCACTAGAGGCTTGCTGACCCATGTAATTTGAAGTAACCCAAAAGGTTTACTTCAGTTTTCACTAAAAATTCATTATATCAGGCATGCATATCCCCAGTCTTCTAGGAAATCTCACCTTTTCTGCATCTTTGTTTGCATCATAGCCCCTAAACTACCTGTAATACCAGCCAAAAAGGAATGATATGCTTTCTTTTTCAGCACTCAAAGGTGCTGAAACCTAACCAAAGGTTAGGTCCATAGGCCTAACTCACCACTTTACTGGCACAGTAACTTCAACAGTGTTTAACTTTGAAATGGAATGAAATTAGCTGGTTAAAAACATATGTGACTCAAACAATTGCTACGGAGGAAAACACTGTTGCAACTAATAAAGTCAACCAGGTGACCGGTCCACTTGCTAATTCTGGCTTTCACAAGCAGGTAATAATATCAAACAAGGTAATGCACCATGTGCCTCTTCAGCAATTTCAGGCTTTGTCCCCAGCAAACTTCTGGATTTTTTTTTAAAGCACCTTTTCTCTAATGAGGTTCCCCCCACTTCCTCCTCTGTCCTTGGCAGTGCAGACATGTCTCAGATTAGTTTCTCTTGCTTTGACTTGCAGTAAATAAAAATTCAGGAAGTTCTTCAGTTTCTCCAACTCCCATTAAACTTTAATAAACAGCGCTCACTAACCAGTTGAGAGAAGACACTGCCTTATGCTACTTACTAATGTAGTTAAAACAGGTAGGATTTACTTTTCAACATTTTGTCATTAAGGGACCATTGCCACCTGATCCATTTAGAAAGCCAGTCCCCTTTAGTTCAACTCCAAAATGTATACACACTCAACACCGTTTTGTTATGGCATTAATTTTACTTGCACAAGTGCAAAATCAGTATCAGGGTCAGACACATGGCAAGAACAGCTCAGACAAAAGTATATGCATAGCATGGGTGTGTGTGCATACACACAGATATGGTTTCTTTACTGTGACTTAACGGATCATTTCCATGTGCTCATACAGCATGCAAGGATGTCAAGCCAACACTGCCTGTTTTGGAGCTGTTGTATGGATTCCAACTGGACCTAAAAGCCAAGGGAACAGTTGCACGAAGCATAGATTCTCTGTACATGATGAATGTTTCCAAATTCAGTGATGCCAGCAATAACTGTGTAGTAGCCTGCTCTTGAAGGTCTTGCCATCTCTATCAGCCCAGCTAATCACTGCAAATAGAACAGAACTGATACCTATTGCTTTGCGAGGAGGTCTGAGCTGATATCCATTCGTCTCACACCAACCCACTGGAAATATATTCATTGATTCCACGCTCACTATGCAGTCAGGGACGGGCTTCTTGGAGCCTGTTCAGTTTAGAGAAGTGAAAATGGAAACAACTCATAAAACCAAAAAACCTCATTTGGTTAATGTTTGCTGTATGTTTGCCAGTGAAGCTCCTTTTACTTATGGCCTATCTGGAACACAGTATCAATTGTTTTTTTTGACCGGACTCTTTCCTGACCTCATTTGCTTCCTCCTGAAGGCTGGAGATGGGAATCTACCATCCACAGTTTAGCAGAGATGCACAATGCATAGTAAGTGCATGCTGATGTATTTCCAATCAAGAAATGGGATTATAATGGAGAACGGCTGACATTGGCCTATTCAATCTTAATGAAGAATCTCTCTAAAAGTATTCTTCCTAGGTCTGGTCAAAACTTGAACTTGCTCAGAATGCAAGTCACTCATTTGTAAAAATGTTACAAGTCCCTTGCTTTCTAAAAGACACTGATCAGCACTTCGCACAGTACACTAGCCTAGCACTGACACACTGCAATGCACAAAAGCCATTTTTGTCAGGCTTAAATAAGCCCTGCTATCCAAGGCTAACTGGGAAACAGACAATGCAAATGGAGTTTTGCTGTGTTTTCATAGAGGAAACAGTGACCTGCTGCCCATACTCTGCACACAGCGAGTTTGCTCCAGATACTCCTCAAGTTTGATGATGGTACTACAGAAGAACCAATGCAAGTGGTACTCTCCTCTCCCACACAAGGCTTACCCTCCAGCTGAAGCCAGAGGTAGGAATCTTTCATCTTTGTGACTGTAGCAATGCAAACTTCTTCAGGATCAACTGGGTTCACAGCCTCAAGTTTCATATTCTCTTTAAATCCATGGTCAGAAGTTAACTAGGAAAAAGACAGAATCCTTCAGTAAAATACCATCTGCATATCCAGTATACGATATGAATAGCCATGAACAGGAGCAACACATAAAAGCCTCAGTGTCTGAGTAACACAGAAAGATACTCATACATTCAGAGAAGATTTCAGATAATTAGCACATTGAATACAAATAAGATATATTATGAACTACAAAGAATTTAAGTTTAAAAAGGGTCTATAGACAGACCTAGAAAAGAACATGTTTGTACTCAAAAGTAAGGATGCTGAGTCTCACTGAAAGGATTGAGTGCATTCTAAGCAACCAGAAATTCTCTGCTGCTTGCTACCTAAGTGATAAGTCTGACAAATAGTCTGACCAGGCTCTCTATTCTTTTATGTTAGCTTGGAAATCCACTTTACATTATGTAAATAATATTCCTGCCTCATCCAAATGAGTTCTGGGAGACAGCAAAGGAAGCTTTCTTTTCATTTTACATTTTTTGGATAAGCAGAATTTTACTTTATTCACCAATTTAGTCCACATTTATAAAAAAAATTCCTAAAGTGTTAAGAATGGGTATTTATCCAGCTCTGAAACTCCTGAATTAAAGATAAGAAGTAACAGCCAGACAGAGGACTCTCCCTCCCAGAGCCACTCTGCAACATAATTACAGGATCAATACATTACGAATTCTGGAACTAGCCTACAGTGATCAGCTCTTCTCAGAAAAGGGATAATAAATTCAATGACCTGTTCTAAGATGCCACAGCTTACAAGACAGAACAAGGGCAACAAGAATTCATAGCCAGCAACACCCTCTTAAAAAATGGTAATTATTAATTTTAATTTCTTCCCCTAAGCACTGCAATAGCCCAAGTATTGCAAATGGAATTGGAAGGCAGGTGTTAATAGTACCCTTTTCTGCTTGACAAAGTATTGTGCTTTGGGAGACAGCAATAGTGTCACTGAACCAACAAAAGCCCAGAATCTTGCAAGTGCTTCAGGCACTGATGAATGTAAAATGATTGTATGGTACTAATTTAAGATGACTTGGTATTGATCAATACAATGGAATGAATTTTTCAAGCTGAAAGGAAGGAAGATTGAAAGAGTACACTAAGTAAATGAAAATAAGGTCTATTAGAAGGCCCTGTTTCCACAATTACAGGACTGCCAAGGATTGATGTTGTTTTATGACTATTCCATGGACTCTCACACATCTCAATTTCACAAAACAATAATTTATTTTCAATCTGCTTTATCACAACTGAAGCATTTGGTCCACCACTTCCTTATCTAGGAAACTGGCATGCACCTACTTCAGTTCACATACGTAACTCTTCTGTTTCCTCAGTTATCACAGGTAAGGTGTTAAGGTACTCAAATGTGTCCAGAGGAGGGCAACAAAGCTGGTGATGGGGCTGGAAGGCATATCCTATGAGGAGCAGCTAAGGACTTTGGGTTTGTCTAGTTTGGAGAAAAGGAGGCTGAGGGACAACCTCATCGCTCTCTGCAGCCTCCAGAGGAAGGGAAGTGGAGAGGGAGGTGCTGAGCTCTTCTCCCTGGTATCCAGTGATTGGACATATGGGAATGGTTCAAAGCTGCACCAGGGGAGGTTCTGACTTGACATTAGGAAGCATTTCTTTACTGAGAGGGTGGTCAAACACTGCAACAGGCTTCCTAGAGAGGTGGTTGATGCCCCATCTCCGTCAGTGTTGAAGAGGCATTTGGACAATGCCCTTAACAACATGCTTTAACTTGGACACCCCTGAATTGGTCAGGCAGTTGGACTAGATGATCGTTGTAGGTCACTTCCAACTGAAATAGTCTATTCTATTCTGTCCTACTTGGAAAGGTAATTTAAGTCAAAAACATGCAAAAGGTTCTTCTCCCTGGAATCAAGCATCATTCACGTAACAGATTTTTCTGCAAGAGAACCTTACCAAGGGGAAGCAGCTCTGGGGAGCTGCCTCAGCACCACATTGTTTGAGGTAGTCTGCCCAATCGAAGTCCTGCCCAGGATAACCTAGGTGAAGAAAAAGCAAAAGGCTTATTTTAACAGCACAAGACTCATTTCAAACTGACATGAAGTACAGATCACTGAAATCTGTTTGGGTTGCTCAAGTCTGTCAGCTGACTAGGGCTTCACCGAGCCATCCAAGGTCAGCCCACAGCAGGGTTCTCACATATTTGAGACATCCTCTTTATTTTCACTGCAGAGGGGCTTTGGGCACTGCCCCACCTTGACTCCCATTTTTCACTTGAAAGGGCATCGAACTAAAAATGACTTCACAGAGAGCAACCTGAGGCTTGAATAATGTACACCTGCTAAGCAGACAAAGGTAGCAATTGAAACACAGGGAAGTGTTTGCAGCCTTTTCACAGGGTACAGATGAAATTAGGAAAAGTTTCTGCAAGATTACTTCATTGATGTCATGTCAGCTCTGAATTTTTTTTTTTTTTAAATAGAGCACTCAAAATGTGCACAATACCAACATACTACTCTCTCAAAAACATGTTAAATACAAAGTCATTAAAAAGAGCAGTTAGATATCCTAAGAGGCTCCTCATGTTTGCCAACAGCTGTACATCTGCACACATATTTGAAGGGAAGAGTCTTAACATGGAGTCCATTAGGAGACAGAGCATGTTTCCAAAAAAAAGACAAACTAAATTCTTCTTGGAGGAAATACTTCTCTTCCCTGTAATCTTATAAAAAGCAAATAACTGAAGGGAACTGGGTGCAGAAGTCTGCTGCCATGACAGTTTGAGGTTGGGAGTATATTAGCAAGGAGATAACTGCATCAGTAATTCCAGTAGTACCTTGGAAGTACTTCCCTACAAGGGATGCCTGTGACAAGGGTTTAAGAAATCAAAGAAAATTTTAAACCTAGTCTAAGAATATAGTATTAGCATGACAATCTAAAAACACGAAGCTCAACTACCCCTCAAGAGAGGGCCCAACCACAGGGACCTATTTATTTTTCTGTTTTATCAATGCCAGTAGGGCTCTTGAGTCCTCACGCAATTCAGAATGCCCACTATTTCCAGGGGGACTATAAGAAGAGAAGCTTAAAATCTTTGTCAACTCCAGTCACATCCCTAGAAAGTGCGATTTCATCTTTCACAAGCAAAATTCTAGGGAATGCTGGGTCAAGCAAAGCCAGTTCTTGTACCTCACCCAAGCAAAGGCAAGAGACAAACGTCCTACAGACTTTGCTCCTCTGATGTCATGAGCAGCTAAAACAAAACATTCCAAATTCTGTGGTGGTGAGTAAGAGTACTGAGTCCCTGGTTTTACAATACCATTGACATTTCTATTTTGAGAAAATGAATAAATATTTCAGTAGCTGAGGATCACTCCCCTATTCCCTTATGTCCTGAAGCAATGTTTCAGCAATCTGCTACCTTGCCTGATAGGTCCTTGGAAAAAAAAAAAACTTCATTAACTTCTAAAGCAATAAGATATTCTAAAAATAGTATAAAATGATGGATAATAACGTTCCATCGTGACCAGAAGCAAAAATCCAATGCAAAGACTATAGGCTTCTGATATCATGTTAATTAACGCTGAAATCAACATTGCCTTCAGTCCTGGAACACATACTCCATTCGTTCAAGTGTTCAGGTTTTTATGCATGACCAGCATCCCCAGCCACTGTCATCTTCTCAAATCCAGGCACGTACCCACAAAACTTCAGTTTCCCTAACTCAAAACTCCTGTTTCTCAGAATTTGATCTTTCTTGCTCTTTGCTGGTGCTACTACATGTAATTCTTTTGCAAAAGCATTGTCCTAAACATCGTGCTCTGGGGATTGGCAATCTACTTCCTTCAAAGAGGAGCGAGCATGACAAGTTTGCACAAACATACCTGGTGGGGGACTGAGATGCAAGCCGTTCTTCAGACTCCACTGCACAGGGAAAATACCAGCACTGTTGACATGACAAATGTAAGACTGGCTGGTTGTACGGTCTGGTCTCAAGTCATCAATTTCTATCATGAAATATTTTTCGTTGTATACCTGTAGGTAGCCAAAAGAGAACCATGTGGTCTTGTAAGCAGCAGATTCTGATCTACTGCTCCCTTTCCCCCGTTTTGATAACTTTATTAAACAGCAACACTGCAAAATGGAAACCCTTTACCTTGAAATACTGTGAGGGTTAAAAAAAAATAAATTTAAAAGGTAATCTATGGGATTCATAAACCACCAGGCTCCTCTGCATTATCTGGGAACTTAACAAAATTAAATAATAACAATAATAGGTAACGTACAAGCACTTCAAAAATAAGGTGATCAAGTGCTGTATGAAATTTTCTTATGAAAAATGCAGAGAAATTAGAGTTTGTGGTCTTACCACCATTCTGTAATAACAAACTGCTTGTTTCAACAAGGTTGAACTGTGTCCCAGAATGGACTGTCACAAGTAAAACCACAATGCTCCTGAAGTAACTAGGAGCCGGACAAGAAAATATCAAGAAAAGTAACTGATTTTGCTCTGCTTGGAACTGGTTGTGCCATCAAAATGTGCCATATTATATTGAGAAACTATCTGCCATAAGGAAAAAGCAACAGTTCCTGGAAAATACACAAAAATGTGTCCTGGTTTTATGTTGTACAGCAAGATTTTGGTTTACTACATCAAAGCAGGTCTCTTTAGAACCTCTCACCTGCTTACTAACACAGGAAGATTGAAGTTGCTCAAAACCAGATTATGTTAGGGAGTTTTCATTTCAAGTTTTAAATCTATGTGTGGGCCCTTGTTTGAAAATCAGGCCACAAGTCAGATCTTGTACATAGTAATGACATAACTTTTGCAAAACCAAAACCCCAAAATCTATCTTCAACTGGAAACTCAGATTATGAGGGATCATATCTAATTTTAGAAATCTGGGTTTTACAATTTTAGCCATTTGAGCTTCTATCTTTATGGAACTTTTCCCCTCCATTCAAATCCAATGGCTTCACCATCAACAATTAAGATTCTTTTTCATGGCAACCTGTCCCCTAAGGGAGACATACAAAATACTTAATTTGAAACCTAGTTCAAGATTTCGACGTTATCAGTTAATGAGAATTTCCTGAGCATTTAAGAACAGAAGTAGCAATAGAATTGAATCTTAGCAGGACAAGTTAAAGAACCCTGGTACCTTGAGAACTGTAGCAGGAGAGATTACAAAAGGAGCCATCGGGTCCACAGCTTCTAACTTCATGCCTTCAGAGAATGAATGCACTCCAATCACAGGTTTATCCTGAAAAATGATGTTATCAGTGTGATTACCTGCCTTTCTCTGTCAAAAAAAGACATATCTTTCATAATTCAACTGAACAGGATATCTTCAGTTTTTATTAGTTCATTCTAAGAAATCAACATGTCAGAGTACCAGCAACCTCTCCATAATGAAAAGGCCAGCTATGCCCTCTGAGACTGACAGTCTTCTATGAGTTTTAGGAAATTGAGACCCCAAGATTTCCTCCTCTGACATTCTCCACAGAGAAGCAAGATTTCACAATACAAGGTGGTCTGGTAAGTCAATAGAAATGTTTTTTTTTTCCCTAACCTTTAGCATTCATCATGAGCTACACTAAAAGAGAACTACAAAAGCCTCTATTTTCAGCCTAACATAAACCTGCAAAACAGGGCTGCTCCAGGATTATGCATATCCTGCTCTGTATATGACCCAACACATTCAAGAGCAACAGCACCTCCTCTTCTATTCTGCCTATGGGTCCAAATGAGGCTGAGAAAAATGAACTAAGAACTTGAAGGACTAAATTTACATTTCCACTTCTCAAAAGGTATCAAGGTGGGTTTTTTCTAATTTCAATTCAGACTCATTAGTAACATTTGCTAACACTCAGGATATAACAGGAGACCCTTATACACCACGTGTAAGTCTATCAGGTTACAGATTAGATGTTACACACGTTAAACTTTACAAAGTACTCACACAATTAGAGAGACTGTAGTAACCCTGCAGTCCTCTAGAAGGACAGTAATCCACAAGACCAGCTGGTGAACAACCAGAGATGCCATTATAAAGGATCAGAACCAGAGATTTTTCCCAGTATGACAACTCATGGCTCACATACTTGTGATGGGTGCGTTGTCTAACTTAGAAAGAATTGTATAATGGTATGATTATTTTTTCTTATTCTTACTTTTTTAAACTAGAGGGAGAAAGGAAAAAAAATTTAAAAAAAACCAAACCAAAACAGGGAAAGAATTTTGAGTAACAATGACTGACTTCCTTAAATCATTTCTTAGGAATATAGCATTTTCATGATATCTTCCCCAGCATTAAACTACACATATTGCACCTCTACCTTAAAGAGATCTGTGGGAACTGATGACTCCTCTTCCTCTTCTTTCACCTTCTTCAGGATCTCTTGCCAATCTGCTTCGCTCTTCAAGGACCTAATGGCTTGAGTAAAAAGAAAGGAAAATGGTGAATGAAGACATCTTCCTAGGACAAGAAGAAACAGTCTCAAGTTGCGCCAGGGGAGGTTCAGGTCGGATATTAGGAAGAACTTCTTCGCTGTAAGAGTTGTTAGGCATTGGAACAGGCTCCCCAGGGAGGTAGTGGACTCACTATCCCTGGAGGTGTTCAAAAAACGTTCAGATGTGGCGCTTCGAGACATGGTTTAGTGGATTTAGCAGGCATGGTGGCGTTGGGCAGAAGGTTGGACTTGATGATCTTTGAAGTCTCTTCCAACCATAACAATTCCATGATTCTATGAATCTATGATTCTTTTCCTTCAGAACACATAGCAATAAAGCCAAAAGTTTCATTTGTGCTCCTCCAACTGCTAGCTTCAAATCTGTTCAGAACCTGTACAAATATGTTCCTTATTAAAACTTAGTATTTTCTTCAACATTTGGATGTGTTACAAAAAGGGACTGAAGTCAAGTAACAGTGTATCACCCATATGCTGCCCAGTCTAGTTTTTCTGAGAAAACAGAGATCACATCAACACTAAGGAAAACTTCTGGAGAAGTGTATGAACAGAAAACAAATCCCCAGCTGGATAACGCTAGCTTGTTTTACACTTAAGCAAGCAGAAAGTTCAAGAAATGTTCCACAAGTCTGTCCCAGTCACGTAAGTTACTCTTTTAGCATCTGTAATTGCAGACCACACACCTCTCTAATAGAAGATGAACTACTTGTACCAGTGCCATCATGCACAAAGGATCCCTGTTGAGTATATCAAAGCTCTTAATGTAGAAATAAAAAGGAAACACATCTAGTAGCTAACTAATATTTTTAAACAACATTATTCACTTAAATAGTGCTGTGGAATCCACCCATCTAGTTTCTGTCAGTGATTTGGCATCTCCCTGTTCACAATCCTGATTTCAGCAGAGATTCGTCAAGCACTAGAAAAGGCAGTACGCTCAGTCATTTCAACAGAAATTAGTCTGCTTTCCTCAGTGTGATTTCTTCTTGTGGTAAGGGGAAAACATAAAAAAAGAAAAAAAAAAAAACAACAAAAACACAACAAAAACTGCTGTTCTAAACAACCTGAACTTCCCCAACTAACAGCACACAATGTGCCAGTACCTTAGATGTACAGCTGCCTTTGCAGAAAGGCTTTAGAGTAAATGCTCAACATTTGCCAGTTTTAGCCCAAGGTTTACTCTCATCAGGAAACATGTTACATCACTGCTCAGCTCACAAGCAATCCATTTGTATTTCAGCCATTTTATGCCCCACTTCTTTGATGATGCTACCTTGACATGCACATGCCTGGAAAACATGGTCATCTGTCCCACCCTCTACCTCTGCTTCCATGCACTTGTTCCCTGGTCACCCATTTTTAAGGACATTTTCATATCCATGTAATAGCTCTTTAGACAGTGCTCTAATCAGTCCAGTGGACTTACAGTCACAACTGCAAAAGCTCCTGTTGAACAGTACTTCAAAACCAGATGACTCCTCCCTGCCGAGCAACACAAACCTACCAAAAATACCTGTGCAGGCAATCCCTTCCTCAGTTCCTCCCTTTCCACAAACAAGTGGAAAGTTTTGACAGGCAAAACCACTTAGCAACTTTTGAATGAGCAGGTGAAAAGTCTTGTGGGATTATTTACTGGTGTTTTCACTTACCTTTTATTCAGTACAATATTTGTCAGATCACACACTGATTATGTGACCACCATATGCATTCGGAAGGCAGATTTAGTGCACTAAACCAGCAGCAGTGCTCTCTAGCCTCTGATCACCATATAAAAGATACATGTTTTGAAGTACCTAAAGGTGGTTGCAGGCTGTATCCATGTTGAGCCGCCCACCCCACTTGATGAAGGAAAGGGTCCAAGTAGAACAGCCATTGGTCAAATTTGTCAGAATCCTCCAGCCCTTCGTATCGCAATTTAAGTCTCCCACCAATATTTTCTACCACGTTGACTATCCAGGCTTCCAGGGAATCCCGGATGTTTTGCAGTTCTAGTCGGGAGCCTGGTGCAATAAGATCCAATGGATTTTTCCCTCTGTGAAGCTACAAAAAGAATAGAAATTATTCTGTACAACAGAACAAAACAAATTCCGTACTTCCACTTCTTTATACACATTCTTTTTGCATAAATAAAGTATGAATACATAAGTATTAAGAAATACAAGTCTTTTACTAACATAACAGAAATGACAATGTTTAGAATCGCTGGTGCTTGCATCAGAGCTTCTGCACTGCTCATAGACACAGTCACACATTTCACTTAAGTCCTCATCATAATTTTCAGAAGCATTATCACTTACATATTCAAGGTTTGAAGGTTACATGAATAATCTCTTTCTAAAACTGAGTCATTAGCATACAGAGATGACTAGACAGAAAACATACAGAGATAAAAATGTTAAGTTGTAATGAAGACATCAATGGCATCTTCAATAAAAATCATGTTCTGTACTTTACAACCAGACACTGACAGGAGGTGCAAATATTGTTTTAAGTGCAGAGGAGGGGATAAAAATTTTGTTCTTCACTAGCAAAGATGCAAGATTTAAGTGAAACAATAACCTTCCCATTAGTTGGGGGGAAAAAAAAAAAAGGAAAGGAGTCAACTAGAGAAATGGGACAACATGAAAGCTAGATAAATAAAGGATTATTTCCCTAAAGCTGTATGAAGGAGGAGAAGAATAGGAGGAATACTGAAGCCTACGGGAGTTTGAAAAAGGTCTTTCTTTTGATAGGATTAATGAACAACCCAGGCCTGCAGTGACAAACATGTTTCAGGACAACACTATCAAAATTAAATACTGTAAATCGGAAACACTAGAGAATGGAACTTTAAAGTCAGCAGCATACTACAATGCTCCCTAAACTTAAAAAAGGAACTGAACTGACAATCTGAACAGGAATTCTCTTATTGCCAAAGGGGAAAATCAAGACAAAACCCAAGATACAGCACATTGCAGCACTTACCCCCTCCAGCAGGTTAGCAGGAGCACTGCATGCTCCTTTCAGCACCCGCTGAAGGAACTCCTCCTGGTCAGGTATCTTGTCCTTGATACCTAAGAGAACAGTGAAGAAGAAAGACTCTGATTCTTCCTGTCATTTAAAGATTATTCAGACAAGACAACATTACCACACTCCTGTGCTGCCTAATTCACAAGAATCTGCCACATGCTCACCAGTAACACCTTAAAAGAAGAAAGAAAACAACAACAAAATCTTTGAAGGAAATGACAAAGCAGCTGAATTTGTTGAGTGATGATTAAGCTAACCACGAGCCTCTGTAAAAATAAGTCCAGTTCTGAAATTAAGCTAACTCCTCTCTGGTGAAAGAGCAATCTTCTACTCTAAGTCACGGGATTTCAGAAAAACATGGCAGACAACCTCAACTTGTCATCACAGCCACACCACCTGCACATAACAGCAATTATGAAGACTACCTGCCAGGCTTGCAGAGGACAAAAACGTACTTTTGTATGTACTCCCTGCTTCTGCATATAGAGCCAATACCTTCAGGCACTTTGAGAATCTTCTTGTTCTGCTCACACCAGCCGATGGGGTGTAAATCAGCTGTCATGATATCACACCAAAAGTCAGCCTTGCGGTCTTCCCCGTAACCATCATAGCGCAACAGGAGCAGCTGCCCACAGGTAGTAATGATGGTGGCTACCCAGTAGGTGTTTTGGTCAGACTTGACAGCAACTTCTAGCTTCATACCAGGGGCAAAACCATTCTGCAAACTTGTATCCACCTGAAAAGGAAGAAGATCATCACATTTGAGCACCTCCCAGAAACTTCATGGAACAACAGGGGAGCAATGTAGACATGTTCAATAGCAAAAAACCTCAAGCCAAATGCTGTCCAGTCTCTTCAGAGAAACAACTTCATCACATTATATGACCCAAACTGGAATGCACACAGAATCATCATTAATGAAATCGCCTTTGCATTTCAGAGTATCTTTTCAACGTTAAATCAATACCTTGCAATTCATCTTCCTGCCCTGGACAATAACCCGCCCACCACTGAAAGTCTTTCCAACTCACAGCTGGGCTGTCAAGCTAGGCAAAACCAAAGGTCAAACTCGGCAACACAACTTTGACTTTTTGCGTTAAACTATGTCTTTCAACCTCTTTGGACAAAGAGCCTGTTTAAAGTACATACACATGCTTTAGATAACAATATCACCGTCTCTTCCACAATGCTCATTTAAGAAGTCATGAATCTGCACAAATTGCGGAATAAGGATTTTTAATGTCGCTATCCCAAGAACCTAAATAATTTTGAATGCAGCATTGTTACATAAATTGCATGGAACGTAAACAGTATGTGTTCTTCAGTGAACTCATGCTTTGACAACAACAAAGCACAAAATACTGTGTGTGCTCTGTGTGCATGTATGTTGAAAGCAGGTGAGGAATCTGACCTCACAGTACTCAGATACTGAAATGTGAACTTGAAAAGAGAAGGCAAAACATTAAGTTTCTCATATCCCTAACTTTTCCTAGCTCAAACACTCCTGAAAGAGCATGAGGACCCTGTTCTGCTCTCGCTACAGTACGCTTCTGATCTAAGCTTAATTCCGCGGCCTCAGTCTTAATTAAAAATCTAACATGTTGATCCACTGTTCTCAGCTGAATGTAACTGGCGTTTTCTTTCTCAAGTGGTCCCAAGTTCCATTTCCTCTTTGAATCAACTGCAAGAAAGGCTTTCAGTATGATGCAGATGCAGTAGATATTTTCTGGGTTATTTATTACCAGTTCTGCACTGACAGTTCAGTAACTGCCGTAGCTATTATAGTCTCATCAGCCAGCACATACTGGTTTGCTAAAAATAAAACTCAGAGAACCACATCAGAAAGAAAAGCATATGCCTCTGTTAACTGTTCATATCCTTTAGGTTAATACCCTTCACTTAGAGAAACTCCTTCTTAAAAACAAAATCAGCAGGACCGAATACCTGCAGGTGTTTTGAAGTGGTATTACAGAGGTCATCTCTTCAAAAAGATAGTTGCCTTGCTGAAGAGCTATTGCTAAAGACTTCACATTCTGATTCCCAAGAGAAAAGTCATGAGCTCGACACAAAGTCTGAGCAATTGGGAAATCTGTGCAGCTCTCTGTATCCGAATTTTCAGCAAAGCCTTCTGGCTGAGAGAGTTGCATTCAATGAAACCAACAGCAACAGATGGAGCTTTCCCTGAAGTCAGGTACATTTTTCTAACACTGTCATTTATGTTCCCCGGTGGATACAGCAGAGACCAAGAAGTTAGCACCCTCTCCTGGCAGCTGGGCAAGACGACACCACTAAATGTTTTAAAGCGCAAAACTTTGTTTCTTTAGGCTGGCTCACTGAGCAGACTGGCTAGGGGATGCTGTGGAACCTCCGAGAGTATTTGCTTTGGAGCAGCGTGTCTGAGCAGCACATACGGCAAGCTGAGATGATGATGAGCGGTTAGTGAGAGCACTGCTTAGGCAGTTCTGACCCCTGGCCCCATCCCTCCCCACTATCCCCCCACTTTGTGCCATGTCACAGGTCAGACCTGGGGATCTGACTCAGCTCAGAAGGAGACACCGATAAAGAACAGACAGAACGTATTAAAAGCATGCAAGAACACACAGCAAATACCTGTGTTCAGATGATGTTGAACAATAGCTTATTTTTAATATATGTTTACACACATATAAGTTGCAGAAAGGAATTAAAAAAGAGCAATCAACAGTTCTAGAGAAAGTGTATTTAGATTCGGGCAGAGTGACAACATTGGCATCCAGTGAAACTCCCAGGTTTTTGGTAAGCTCTTTTTCCTGCTAGATTGTAGACAGAACAGTCACTTTGATTTCAATATTGTTTAATTTTTAAAATGCAAACATATTAAACGTTAGAACACAATTTGAGAAAGTAGCTTACATTTTCCAATGCGTCTTGCTCACAGTATGAGCATACAAATACAAAAAAGTCCTCTCCCCATCAGCAAGTCTAGTTCTTTGCTAACACAGGCTGTGTAATCACAGATTACATTTTCTCAACCTGAGCACATACTCTTCTACAACGTGGGTTAGGTATTTCCCACCCACCACTCATAATGGGAGGCTAGTCACAGTCTCACTACTCCAGTATTTAAAAAGAATCAAACAAAACCCTTAAGCTTCCATCTAAAATGTATTTATATTAATTAATTAATTTATACATGTTCATTTGCTCTTGTGCCAATATTATTCTTCAACTTATTTTCTTCCACTCCATTTCTTTGAGAGTACAAAAGCAGTTCCCTCTTAGCTCTCCTGAGGGTAGATTATAAAAATACGTCACTCTTCAAGTCAAGGTGCTAGCACCACACAGTTTCAGCTGGAGCGACCACTGGTCGCTAGCACACAGACATCAGTGTCTGTATGCTCTCCACTGAAAATCCCTCACCTGATGTATCCTGGAATCACACTAACATTTTTTTAGGGCTTCGTCACATAAGACAGGCTGTCACTATCCACTGGGAGGCACTGAGGTTCTCCTCCTCTACCTTTTCCAAACAATTACCTTCTAAGGGACAGCAGAAATCCTGAGCACATGACCTTGCACTAGTGAATTTCTATTAACAGCAAGATCTAGGTGATGTGATGCTGCTGTAAATACATTCCTCTCTTTGCTTGTCAATTCAACATTACCTTTCCAAAATTTTACGCCAAGCTTACTACTGTGAACATCAAAATTGGCCTCCAGGCAAATTCTAAGGGAATTCTGCTAGCAAATACCTGATGGTTCCCCTTCTGAACATTCAGGCATCTATTCTAATGCTCATTCATAGAATGGTTTGGTTGGAACTGACCTTAAAGACCATATTGTTCCAAGCCCTCCTGCCATGGGCAGGGACACCTTCCCCCAGACCAGGTTGCTCCAAGCCCCATCCAACCTGGCCCTGAACGCTCCACGACCCCCTGCGCAGCGCTCGCGGCACGCCGAGCGCCCAGGCCAGGTGCCCATGCCGGGGTGCGGAGCGTGGCCACCCAGGCCCACGGGGCGCAGCTCCTCCGGCCCGCTGCCCACAAGAGGGCACCCAATGCAGCAGAAAAGGACCGGCCGACACGGCCAGGCTTGGCCGACACGGCCAGGCTTTGCCCACACCTCTCACTAAAGCGCTCTCCGCAACATTACTTGCGCCAGCAAAACTGCACCGTGTTCTACACAAGTAGAGAATAATAACAATGAAAAATGTGGAGCTTTTTTTTTTAAACCTAATTGTATTTTTACTGACCATGGCGACAGCAATCAGACCTCTTGTTTGATACAGCTGCGTTGGCAGAGAGTGCAGTTCAGGGGTGAAAGTACATCTCCTGCCAATTAACAAAATGTAGCTGCAATATTAATTCAGTTGGCCACCACCGTAAACCTGGCATTACAATTAGTTTGTGTAACATCTGAGCTATGACAGAAAGCTGCTTTAATGGTGATCAAGTAAGGTAAACCACACCAGAGGAGCAGAAACACCGCTCCTTGCATGACTGCAAAATGCAACTGCTCTGATTCCATAGTATGCTCCCTCAATGTGGGCTGCAGGGACACCACCACTCTGACTAAGTTTGCTCTTCCTAGAGCCTTAGTACATGAAGGAAAAATAAAGAAAGTACAGGCCTCTTCCCTTCAGAAATGAGATACCTGAATGTTTATTTTGAACAAAAAGCTTACAATAACATGCCAGTGTATGGAAGAGCTTCTGTGAAGTCTACTTTTACTGTGCATCTTTACTACTAACACAACTGCCATATTTTAATAGATTCTTTAATGTTTTGCACTTCTTCAGTTTGCCTTTGGACTCAAAATGCTTTGTGAACCTTCACAAAAAGACCTCAGAGTTTGTTTTCCATTTAAGTCTCCTGTACTGAAAGTGGTGACACTGGACCCGAAAGCCTGAGCACCACAGAGTGCTTTCCATGCAATGTGCCACACACAAGTCACTACCCTTACTGCCATGGTAAAAGACCCACCATAGCCAGTCTTTGGAAGACTATTAAATAGTAACTTTATTAAAGAGTCGAATAAGGATACAGGCTGGCAGTCTGAAAGCTGTTTCAATTGTTGGAAGAGATCCAAGAGGTTTGGAAACCAGCTCTATACAGCTCACCTTCACTGATGACCCAGTACAAGAAGGCTTCACATTCAGATCTCACCCAATGGGACAGTGCACTCCAGGATTTTACCAACAAACATTTGATTAAAGATATGCAAGGGCAAAGACAAGAGCTTATCAAGACTTCATTCTATCCATTAAGCCTGTGATCAACAATTATCCTAATCAGTTTTCTAACTGCTACAGTCAAGTGTTTGGCAGAGCTATTATTTTCTCCTTGGCCTCCTTGAGAGCCACATTAAAACCTTCTTTGTGAGCACATTTGAATTCTGCTATTCAAGAACTATGCTACCAACTTTCTAAAGCTAGCTCCTCCATAGCAGTTGTCCAGTAGCAACCAACAACAAAAGAAAGAGACTGGCCAGTTTGGGCCTCATGAGAAAAATCAAGCTTATCTTCTGGTGCAGAAAAGACTAGGAGCCCCTTAACTTTCAGCACTTGTGGATGGGATTACCCTACGCTACATACAGAGAGGAAGGCAAGAAACAATAATAAAAAGGTGAAATTCCTCATTTCTCTTTGCTCTAAGAAACATGATTCTAATTTGTCTTCCAGATTCGAGAGCCTCAACTAACTCAAAGAAACCCTAAACATTCAGTGTATCAGAAAACCAATGTAGGAGATGGTAAGTAAACACACACTCCCTTACTCACATGTTTAAAAGATCCATGGGGGGCTGCAGTTGCTCCTGTGTCTTCTAGATACTCATCCCAATTGAATTCCATTTCTTCCACACTGGAACCAGCATCTGGAAGAGAAGTCAAACACCTCTTATTTAGCAACTTGTTGGCTTAAGTTTTAGGCTACTAAGAACTACAGCAAAACCCACTTGAATTCCAAATGACTGGGTACACAAGTGCGCAGTGAACTTCAGTTACACATTTCAACAGAGACAACCCTACTTAGCCCTTCTTTGTATGTGAAGAGCACTTTTAAGTTGGATCTGGTCTGAAAAATAGTGAGATCCTGAGGATTTTGGTTAAGCACAAATTGTTTACAACTTATGAGAGGACAACACAAGCAGAAGTGTTCTGTATTTGTATCAACAAATATAAGAGACTCTAAACTCTGGGCACACCAGACTATCAGTGTATTAAAAACTATCCAGGAAACAGCAATACCAACAGTAAGAGGTTTGAAAAGAAAGACTTAAAAAACCTGAAATATGACTCTCCTCTTTTTTAAGTTAGATAGTATTTATTCAGATGTAGTAAAAGACCAAAAGCACAAAGAAGGGGTTCAGAGTAGTTCTAAAGAAAACAGCTCAAGACACCACTGAAATCAAGAACACTCAAATGAGTCACTTAAAAAAAAAAGACAGTTCATAAGGTGTAACAGCTTCTTCAGACCAAGAAAATTTTATTTCTGGATGCATTTAAAGCAAAAATGTACTAAAACCACTCAAGCCAGAGTTCAAAACTCACTCAGGCTGTTAGGGAATCAAGCAGCTGTAGTAAGTCACACTACAAATTAGTCAGATTTTCTGTTATTATTTTCAAGCCTGTCCCCCAGTCCCAGTCTCCTCTTCAGTTCTTGGCTGAACTCTCTCTTCACTTCCCCACTCCTTTCCTATTCCCGTTTCTCCGATGTGTAACCTGCTCTGCTGAAAAGACGCCACAAGCAACACAGGTTGGATTTCAGGTCTCCTATTTAGTTCAGCACTCAGCCACATTGTATTTTTCCTGCAGGCACAGTGTGGGAGGACCAGGGAGGGTCCCACCTCATGTCAGCGGCATTTTTAACCTCAACATACAAACTACAGCTTCTGGTTCAGC